CCAGGAGTTGGAGGTTGCTGTGAGCTGTGATGCCATGGCACACTACCCAGGGCAACAGCTTGAGGCTCTGTCTCAAAAAAAAAAAAAAAAAAAAAACATACTGAGATAAGCATAAAATGAGAATGGTAAATCTCCATGTGTTAGAAATTAAGCTGCATCCAAGCCAGAGAAGCACACAGGTTAAGAATAAGATGGACTACATGGTGGCAGGTGTAAACATAGCAACTGAGCCCTGAGAGTTATGATTCTAACACTATGTGGGTACACAGCCTTGGTATTTTAGAATTAGGAACCTGTAATCGTGTCTCTTGTGGGTTTGTTGTGGGGCGAGAACTTCAATCATAACTCAAATGGTTTCATTATTTTAAAAGTTTGTCAACATGTTAAAATTTGACTAGTCAATGCAGAGACAGATAGTATGTCATTGTTTCTATTTCCTTATATATTTAAAATATTTATGAGGCAAAACAAAATTTTAAATAAATAATTTAGTAGGTTATCTTTGTGATGTTATGACTTCCCACTGGTATGCAACTCAACAGGTTTTATGCTCTCTCAAATAGTTCTGCTTGCCTCAAAATTCTGCCAGAAGAAATATAACAAACCTGGACAGACTCAGGCACAAAGGAAGGGAGCTTCAGACTTCCTAAGGCATAGAACAAGAATAGGAATGATGTTTACCTAAAGATATTTTTGTAAAGAGCAAATAAAACATGGATAGCCAATTAGTACAGTTACTTTATACAAAGGAGTCAACAAATGTCAGTTGCAACTGTGGCCACTGCTGTTATGACAACTTAGATTGGTAATGCTTGGAGGGCTGTGCTGGAAAAAATTATGAAGCTACATTTGGGATCAGCAAGGAGGAGAATATTGATTCATTGCAATGCCCACTCTGATTTCAATAAATATGAACTGTATAACTGAAATTTTGGTTCAGTATATGAATCCTATTTTCTTTTTGATTATAATGTTTTCTTAAATACCTACAATTTTTACATATGATGAATGATTCTCTGTGCACTTTATGTAAAAGTAAGTTATATATTTATATGGGAATTATTGGAAAATGAAATTTTCTAAGAATGTATAAGAGGAAGCAAAGGACAATTACACTGAAAGGTGAGAGACTAAAGTCTAGAGCTTTATGTGAAATAAGTAGAGATAGTATGCAACAAAAAAACATAGAGGTAGAGAAACCTCTGTATCTCCATACTTTGCCTGAATATTTGAAATGATATTACTTAAACAATTCATTTCTCTATGGACACACATACACATACAGTAGAATCTCCATAGTTGACCAGCTCCCGATATGGACCACCTCCTTAAGTTGACATAATTTATAGACCGGATATGCACCACATGTACATATCAGTACATCAGGCCTAGTTCCCTGGGTTGACCACCTTGCCTACGTCAACTAGTTTGTTACAGTCCTTTGGGTGCTCAACTTACAAGGGTTTACTACATGAGAAATAGATTTAAGGAGAAAATCTGAAAAGGTAATGCTCTCAAATGTTTTTTGTCTATGACATCTACAAATAGGGAAATTATACACACCAATGAATTCCCAAGCTGAACTTGTATACTTTCTATGAACTCTTTTTACCTACAAATTTATGCATATGGTAGTGTAATAAGTGTTTAGTTGTTCAGGCTCAATAAAGCAATAATGTGCACATTACCCACCAAAACCCTCAAAAGGGTATTCAATTTCATAAATACATAAATACCATGGTATTCCCCCCAAAAGTTTTACAACCTTTTTTTTTCTCATAGTCTTTTCTATTTCTCCCTTATTTTTGGTGTGCTTTGGACATAAAGAATGCTAGTTTATATATATCTATCTGGCTCAGACTTTATTTCTTAGATATCTAATTCTCAAAATAGCACTCTTGGTTCCAAACTTTCCCCTCATAACCACAGAATTCTTCCTCATTTTACTTGATTACATCTTTGTGCTTCCAGCTGCTTTGCCCCAAAATTCTAGAGATATTTCTTAATCTTTCATTCCTCTCACACCCCATTTTATTTCACCATGCATTCATTTCCCCCAGAAAATATCCTAGTTTGACCATTACCTCTTCCCTAGATTTCTGCAACAGCTGTTTATTACCTGATTTTTCTGTCACTATCCTTTACTCCTCCAGTCTAATTTCAACATACTTGTGGTGTAAGCCTTTAAAAACTCACACCAGATCATGTATTTGCTCTGCTCAGGATTCTGTAATGAATCCTCATTTGTTCAAAATAGAAGCCAAATCCCTTTCGATGGCCCCTAATGCTATACATTATCTCCACCCAATCTCAAGAATCGTTTTCTACTCTCTCACTCTGTTCCAGGCACTCACACTTCTCATTCCTTGAATATGCAGATACATTCACATATTAAGGCTCTTGCATTTCCTGTTCTTCCTATCTGGTTTATTCTTCTGGAACATATTTATATAGTTAATTCCCTCAACTCTTCAAGTCTCTGCTACTATGTAATCACCTTAAGGATTTATTTAAAACAGCAACACATCACTTTTGAATTCCTAGTCCTCCTTACCATGTTGACCTTTATTTCTCGAAAGACTGATTAATCTCTCATGTACTACCTGTATGTACAGGATGAGAATGTTGGCCAATCATTCTTCCTTGCCTAGGACTTAAGAGTTTCTAAAAAGTAGGACTTTTTTTTTTTGAGATGGAGCCTCAAGCTATCCCCCTGGGTAGAATGCCATGGAATCACGCTCACAGCAACCCCCAACCCCTGGGCTCAAGCGAGTCTCCTGCCTCAGCCTCCCAAGTAGCTGGGACCACAGGCGCCCACCACAACACCTGGCCATTTTTTGGTTGCAGCCATAGGCTGGGGATTCGAACCCGCCACCTTAGGTGTATGTGGCTGGCACCTTAGCCGCTTGAGCCACAGGCGCTGAGCCAAAATGTAGGACTTTTAATACCAAAAATTGGGAAAGTTTTGGGCAAATTGGAACATCTGGGATCACCTTGTGTTTTTAAAGGTACAGGTGGCCATAAATTTCATGTGCAATTTAAACAAACTTTATGGCCATCCTATATTTATTGCTCTCACCCCACTAGAGTGAGTGGTCTGTGAGGGGAGAAATCCTGTGTGTTCTGTAGGGTATGCATCAGAAGGCACTCAATAAATACTATAAACATTTTAGTAATGATACTAGCAAAATGGATGAATATTAGCTAGTAGATGGACAGATAATGAGAAAAAGGAAAGTAGCAGAATAAAACAGAATTAACATCTAACTAAAAATATATGAGAATCCCTGTGAGAATAGAGAAAACCGTGGATACATTTGCATGTATATTTTATATTTCAACTAAATATGGCTGATTTGCATACTTCTCTGTTTTTATACAGCTAGATGAAAATTCCAGAGACCTTTGGTTTTGGAGACATCTGGATTATCTTTTTGAAAATTCAGCACCCCAAAACACCACAGGTATACCAGGTTGTGAGAAAAATAAGAAAAGATAGGAAATAATGACCAGTAGGATCACTAGTCATGTGGTAAAGAATCACTTAGAGAAGTAGAAATGTGCCTAAGGATGTTATTTACTTGGTGACTACACAATCAGGGTGTCTGCTTAGGGTAGGAAGTGGTATGTGTTTGGAAGACTGGAGGACTTTGTCCTACTTCAGAGTTCCCAAAAAGACAAATAAAAAGTGGAGACCTGAAAATTGACTTTATTTCTTATGCATGTGTGATAAAGACAGCAGAAGAGAGGGCTGACTTGATAAAGTGGACCATCATGAACCCCAAAAAGATAAGAGTAGATAAGACAGATGGACATGGACACACATACACACACTGCAAACTGAAGTGATGTTTCTAGTCTTCTCGATGGCATTTCTATCCAAGTGCAGTTCACCCACTGCTGGCAATGTCATCCTCTATGGTCCTTGTTAAAAGGTTTATTTTTGGCACCCAGCCAAATCATACTGAATGAAAATAACTAGGATTTGCATCAGGTTGCCTGCTAACTTCTTAATAGGAATGGATTTGTAAATACATGCTAAGGCCAAGGGACACATAACCCTGTATTTTGTTTACTTGTTTTATTTTGGTTATTCCAAGTTAATCATTCTAATTATTTTAAGGGTCTGAATTTGAAGAAACCTTTCTTACAATTAAAACAGATAAATATAAATGGCATGATATAAATAACTGGTCATGTCTTTGAAGCCCAAAGTCTTTATTCAGTTTGCCAGACCACAAGTTAAACAATACATGGATCCCAGTTACACTGATAGGAACTTGAGCTCTCTATTGCCAGATATCCTGGGAGCAGAGTGACCAGGATGCACTTACCTCCGGTTTTATTATAGAGCTCACGACAGAGTTTTTCAGCCACATGCTGCAAAGTTTCTGCAAGCTTCCTGTTCTGGGCTTGGAGTGACTGCAGCTGTCGGGAGAGGTTCCCCAGTCTTTCTTCCTTCTGAGAGATGGTATCCTGCTGAGTATTGGAGAGCTGATAGAACTGAAAAACTGACCAAAGTGACGAGATCAGACTAGACAGATTATTTCTACATATCTATGTTTCTCCAAATGGAGGAAAAAAGTGGTATATTGCTTAAAATGTCAGGCTCTGAGATTTTATATTGCCTGATTTCAGAACATCTGTAATAAATTATATGAAGTTCAGTACACATATAACAAATTGCATCACCTTGGGCAAATTATTAATAACTTCTTTAAGTCTGTATAAATATGTAAAGTGATAATACCCGTTCCTGCCTTCAGGAATAAATTCCCAAAATATATTTATTGCTTAATAATTTTTTTTCATATACTCTCAAGTTATTACTTAACCTAAAACCACAAATCCATTTATCTAATGATCATCATATTGAGTATTGCCAATGCACCATATATTGTTTCTTATTCAGTTATTAAAATAGCCTTATCGTCATTTCTATATTTGCTTATAAATTTGCAATTAAGATCAGTGAGAACAAGTAAATTTCTGAACATCACTTGACTAGAAAATTTCAATATTTAGGTTTGAATTTTAGGTTCTAAAATTAAACAGAGAAATCCTTCATGAACCATGAGAGTTACTTTATATTCCCAAGAATGGTTGCAGAACAATAGTTATAGCATAATGAAGTAACCTTTTTTTTTTTT